CTGAGAATGTAAATGTTCAGTTTGTTCTTCGTGTACATTCCCCAAAGGTGGTAAATTTGTGAAGTGATTTTCCTTACATTCAAACAAACTTTTTCTACTACTTGGCAAACAGCTGGAAGAGCAGAGCATATGTTCTTGAGAGCATATTCTTTCCTTGGCTTGTGTAACAGGACTTACATGTGTTTGCTCTGTATCTGCATCACTAACTAAATTCACACTTGGCACAAGATCATCTCCAAATGTATTTTCAACCAATCTATAGCCTTGTAGAGGAGGGAAACTACCAATGTTTTTCTGAATGGATACAGGAGAGTCATCAAATTCTTGTTTCAATATGCTATTATTGCAACCTAGTGTTTGGTTTGGTGTTAAAGTGGTTTGGTTTTGGATACAAGAATCACCTACTACATGCAGTTGTTGTTGAGGAGAGCCAGTGGGCATTGAGAAACTACCAACATATGGACCTGGACTGAATGCCAAGTCCTCCAAGGTTGAAAAATTCACTAAAGATGCTGATTTATTTACTGCTGTATCTTCTGCATCTGGTGTTGAACGTAATGAGCATTTTGCAAACTGTGTTTTCTGGTTGGTAATCTCAACTTTCACATTGTTTTCACATTCAAAAACTGTGTCCTCTGTATTTGATTTAAAATAAATCTCATGTTTTGAGGTACTAGACATGGTTTTGGGGCAACCATGATTACCTAGAGTTTCACTGTTGCTTGAACTGGATGGGAAAGGCTTGGCTACCAAAACATTATAAGCTTGAGATAATTTATTGCTGTTGAAGGTTTCACTGGAACATGGGGAGTCTGGCTCAGAATCTGATACTTGTGACAATGGAGAAAAGTTGATGTCAAAGTAACCATCCATTGTGTCTTCTTCTGTAATGTCATAATCTTCAATTGCAACAGAGACACCTTTGGACTTGGAAATGCTTACGTCTTCTGTTGCTATGACAGCTGCATCTTTTTCTGCTACATCATTAGTCTCACTAACTGCTTGAACTTTATCTGAAGTTTCACAATGCACTGTATCGTCTAATAAGTGGTTAGTCTTAGATAATGTTACATCATTGCCTTCAAGAGCAATATACTGGTTATCATGAACCTTTGCATGACACCGGGCAGTTTCATTTACTTCACCTTCTTGAATCTTTTCTTTAATATTATCATCCAAAACACTCCTGACTGATTGTTTCAAGGGAGGCTTAAAAGGTTTTCCACCAATCAGTTTAAGAATTTGTGCAGCACTGCGCTTTCCCTTTTCTGGCAAAGACACACTGTTTAAACTTTTCTTTGACTGTGTATCTTCATGTCTAATTCCTTCCTCTTTTGATTCCAGTAACCTAGGCCTTCTAGGCTGACCAATTACACTCCATGGTGAATTGTATGCCCTACTTCCAACACTGTTTGAGTTTCCTTCAGTGTTATAACATTCAGCATCACATGGTCCAATTTGAACATTTTTATTTTTAGCAAAAACTTCATGGTCCCCATGTAAATTAAAAATATTAGTTCCAAAGGAAGATTTCTCATCTGGTATGGCTATATGATGATTAGTTTGATACCTACAGGCCTCTGTTGCAGTGGGGGAATTGATTCCACTGTGGAGAACTTGCTGTTTCACTAATCTGGGTGGAATAAACTCCTGGATAAAAAAATTACACATTACATTTACTTTAATTATTGTACCTCTCTAACCATGGGAGTTATTTGTTATTTGTAAATCGTTTGGCTGAAAACCTGAAGCTACATATATAAGCCAACTAATGACAAATAAAAAAGTTTTTTTTTTTTGTTCATTTGTTTCGCAACAGAAATTAAATATCTGCCCAAATCTTGTCAAAAATACACCTACTGTCCTCTTTCTTTTCAATCCAGTCTTCAATGGTCGACTAACTGCAGCACTGTTAACATTCAACCTCTCAGGTTGCGAGACCACTGGATTAATACCATATCTGATATCACTGTTATCAAGTCCATCACTAGATTTTACTTCATTTTTCACTGGTTTTCTTTCCTGTTCTCCATTGACTTTGATTTCCTCAATGGTGATGAGATGGCGGTCACTTTCTATTTCATCCCCAATGTTTAACTAAGTATTTGAATAATATGTAAAATAAGTTATATCAATGGTAATGATGATTTACTTAGCTGAATTTCATAGGACCGCCATAAATTTTGTTAAACCATATTATGTAATGGAAAGATTGGTTTGAAATATGACCCACTTTACAGCACCCTTTTTGTTAGACACTTAAAATATCTTGGTATGTCAGGATAACATGTACAAAATTGTTTTAGGCGTGCTTAAATATGCAAGGCGCACTATGCTCAATAGACCTTTATAAAGCAAAAATGTCATTTTCCTAAAAAGTACACCACTTCCCTCATATATTTTTTTAATCATCAAAGGGAACTGCACCCTGGTTCATACTGTAATCAGTTTTAATATTGTGCACCTTTTAATGTTACTGCTACAATATGTATGATAATATAAGATTTGCATGATGGGTATCTTACCTGATTTGTCTTTACATGGACTGAGTCTACTTTAGATCCAGAATCACTAAACAGAACTGCCTGAAAGAATGAAACACAAGAGATTAAAAAGAGCAAAAATGTTCATTAGCTTGGTAGCTGGATCATATATATGGTAATTACAAAACACAAGGTGAAATATTTTCATACCATTAGCTTCTGATTGATCAACATAAGAGAATCTTTTAAAATACTTATAAATGACCACATGCGCTTACATCTGTCTGGTGAATGCTGATGTCCATGTTGGCCATAAGGTAACTGTATGTAAATAATTCAGGATGTGTTTTATCTTTATCATATGAGAGCTTTAAAGTTTCTACAGAATAGTTTAATGTTGGAACAATTATAGATGAAAGGATAACATAGATATGTACATAAACTTTTTTTAATAATGATTTACCAAATGTATTATTATCAATTGTGTTGTAGACCTGTGCTTTGTTGTAAGATTGAAGTCCATAGTCCTTTTGCTTTTCCTTGAAATGTGTTATTTCCAAAGACTTGTATGGCAAAGCTGACAGAGCAGGTAGTGGCTATATGAACAGACACAATGTATCTGTACACAACAAATTACTGGAGAGAGAGCGAGAGAGAGAGACAGAGAAACAGAGAGAGAGAGAGTGTGCATGTGTGGCTGCCTGTATGTGTACTAATTTTCACTACCTTTGAACCAGCTCTGCACACTTTTAAAACTCCATCCTGCCAAGTCTTGGTCTTTTTTGTCTTCTGGTGTGTATACAGCACCTTTTAAATATTGATTAAATAAACTGACATTTCATAAAATAAAGATGTCATGAGCAAATATGTTGAACAAATAAAATATATCATGCACAAAATCACTGCAAATGCCTTATAATTCAGTACACCCTGAAGAAATATAGTGAAATTCAAGTTCATCACATCTAAATACTACTACTGAAGTATTCAGTAAGTTATGTCACGTGTAGTGTGTTTTGTGCATCAACTTGAAGACCTTATTGTCACATATTTCCATCAAATCAAGGTATTTTACACATTGTGTTGGTGTCAAATCTAACTTCCATCAAGAAAAGGGCAATTTATTCCTGTTCCAGAACATTTACTAGACCTGTTCCAATACTTGGATTCAACATTTTGTGTCACTCTAAAAAAATCATGATACACTTAGACCACCACCTGCCCAGGGATTGACATTAAAGGTTACTGTGAAAACTCACACAATCAAGCTTTCTACTCTTATGTAACTACCCCCATCTTCTTTACCATAGGTTGATTCAACAATTTAGAGAGCATTCACATCGAGAAGAGCCAATGTCTAGCAAGGCCGAGACCCAAATATGGCAGACCTACATGAAAGGAAGACAGCATAATCCTTTAATGGTCTCTCAATGACATTCATTGACATTCATTGAGAGGTTCAGAGAATTCCTTCTAATCAACTTTTCCACCTTACCAGGTATTCTTTGTCCATAATGGCCTATCAAAACTCTTTAAGTTACATGCCACATCTTGGTTTGAAAATCTGAAAAAAAAATTACACTTGAATTTTCTGATTAAATTTTGATGCTCTCCATTGTCACCATACATACTGTAAATGTACATGTAGAACAAGAACTGTAGTGAATACTAGTGATGCACTGTCCTGCTTTCAATATTTACATCTTTCAATTTGGTTCCAAACTGTACTGTAACTAGCACAGCTAAATGGTCCAAATGGGCCAAATGGCCAGGAAGGCTAAGCTGAATATTTTATGGTACAAACTGCATTAATGCATGAAATTCATGCATTAATGTTGCTATTTGTGGTTTATGATATGAACTAAGTTATATACTTGTCATAAGGGGGGGGGGGGGGCTAATAAGAAGCAGTGGGTCACAATTTTTGTGCTTGCAAAAGAAGGGGATTAAATTAAGCCATTCATTTAGGGTAGATCACAAACTAATTGAGTTTTTTTGGGGGGTGGGGGTGGGGGGGGGGCACCAACCAGGTGCAATTCTGGAGAACCATAAATTACAGCCTGACAGAGGTCTGACAACACCAGTTTTTTTTTTTCTTTTTTTTCTGCAACTTTAAAGAACAAACAAAAACAGCTTCTTATAGTTATCCAAGAAGAATTACAAATATTTTTTTATATAAAAAATGGTTTTTTGAAAGTAACAACCACTTGAGGTGATTGTCTCAATTCCTTAATTCTGAAACTCCCTACATCCCCACATTGATATCCCTCCGCTCCTTTATTTCCCCTTACCGATACTCTCCCACATTGATAATCCTCACAGCATAGATTCCCTTGGTTTTCACCCCATTTCCACAGAATTTTAGATCGATCTATCTCTGTGGGGAGTCTCCCTAGATTATACTGTCAGCTTGGCCGGCTTAAGCGTCTGTCCCGCCTACTAAAAGCTGTAAGGGGGTAATTAACTATGTTGCCCGCTCGGCTGACTGCAATTTAGCGTGAACCCCCAGGGAGTTAGGTCGATCTAAAACTTAATTTTTAGATCTATCTAAATCTCTGGGAAAGCACCCTTTGATTAACACAAAACCCAAAGGCTGTATTCCCAGAGCTTTTAGATCGATCTATCCCCGCAGGGAGTCTCACTAGATTACTGTCAGATAATCCGGCTTAAATGTCCATCCCGCCTACTACAAGCTGTAAGGGGGTAATTAACTTTCGTGTCCGCTCAGCTGACAGCTATTTAGCGTGAACCCCCAGTAGATCAATCGGTGTGACTGAAATGCGCAATACACTGTCATACAGCGCAACACAGCGCAATACAATACAAAAATCAAATCCAGTTGCAATTACACAAAAGAAATGACCATTCCCAGCAAAGTAGGGTGATATAAAAAAACCTATATTACTAGGTAAGTAACATCGTTGATATAACTTAACAAATCAGCAAGACTTTTATATTGTCCGGTTGGCAGCCATGTTGGCGAGTGGCTCTTCTTGGATATATTACTGGCCAAGAAGAGCTACTCGCCAACATGGTGGCTGATCAAACAATGAAAAAAATTGTCAAGTTGTATCAGCAATATTAATTACTATGTACAATATTTTGATTTTTATATCACCCTATTTTATTTGAGATTACCCTTTCCTGTGTTTACTTGTAACTGGACTTGTGTTATCAAGTGTATTGCGCTGTATTGCAGTGTATTGCGCATTTCAGTCACACCCGTAGATCAATCTAATCTCTGGAAATGGGGTCTAAGAGTTTGGGGTCTGCTTTGAACCTGAAACTACGGGGCCGTAGCGATAGTCCGAAGGTTCAATAGTCCGAAGGTTCATTGGTCCGAATGTTCACTATAGAACCTTCGGACCAATGAACCCTTGATTAAAAAATCGATGAAAATGTTTCCACTTTTCGGACCAATGAACCTTCGGACCAATGAACCTTCGGACTATCGAGACGCCCCCGAAACTACCAAGGAGAGTGATCATGTATATTTTTCCCTCGAGCTGCGCCATGCGTTTCTTGGATTTTGCACCATTTTCTATCTGTATTCTCTCCTTTTGGCTGTTGACACTCCACTGGCCACAGTTAAGTACATCCTCTTATGTTTCCCTCTTATTTCTATTTCTTATTTCTACTGTACTTTTGCAAGGCCCCCAGACTAACATCTGACTGAGGGGCGCTCTAGAAAAACATCACCTTACATACACCCACCTTTCCCTTGATCTTAGAAAATCTCACTACTTCCTCCGTCAAATAAACATATAAAGGATAGGTATCAGTCTTCACATAAAGTTTGTGACTGCAGATGAGGATTCATCGTAACCCCCGCCATAATTCATTTGATTGGTCAATGTAAATCTGGGTCAAGGTCTTTGCCGGCAAATTCATAATGTTGGGATGTACGTGCGTATGCTGAAAACTATAAATAATTTGTGACATTTTTTATTCTAACGTGAAATAAACATTCTTTGTTTAACTCAGAAGCACGCTAGTTTCTCTGTTCTTCGAGAAGTAGGCCTGGTTGATGTAAACAAGACCTAGGTCAAACGCGTGACATAATGCCATAGACAAACTGGGTTACCATAATTTAGCGTCACGCTTCGTCAATTTGACAGATAGAGCTACAGTTACTGCAGACAGAGGAGAGTAGCATTAATATGCCGGAGACAAGAAAACGCCACGTACCTTCGTCTTCAGGGAGTACTTCTCCAACCCATAAATCCGTTTCATCTTCGGGGCCAAATAAAGATGAGGCTTCTCGTTCCTTGTAAGTTGGAAGCAGTTTTATTTTTTTCTGTAATGTACTAAGCCCATAACTTGACATGAAATATCTAATGTGCAGTCTGTGATAAAGCAGTTGTGTAAAAGAGAGAACAGTTCCCAGTAAGATATATATATATATATATATATATATATATATATATATATATATATATATATCTGCCATATTTAGGTTGCGGCCTATAGCTAGTACTCGGCTCTTCTTGATCTGAATGGGGCCTACATGTATATAATAAAGCCAAGAGAGAGAACTTTTGTAATGGACTGACAGAGCATAGAATAAATTAAAGGGATAATAATTCTTCATTTCGGCCAAAAAATGAAATTTCGTAGAGTAAATATCAATTTTCCCATACTTACCAATGAGTAATGAATCCATTTTTACATTCAAAGTTAGTTCCTGTTTTTTTTCTAAAGTTTGGTTTTTTGCTAAAATCTCTTAAGAGATTTTAACAGAGTATAGCCATCAATGGAGGACATGTGGTCTAAAGACAAGCTCAGATATCAGAATAATAGCTATATTATATTTCTATGAATTATTCGCAATGTTTTTATTGTGAAATATAGATCTCATACGAAGAGTTATTATTTAACCCATGTCCCTGTCATAGTGTAAAGTGTACGTATATATACATAGATGAAGGAGTTAACTGATGACCCGTATACTGAATTTTATTAAATAACTTAATCATAGCTGTAAGACCATTCGAATTAACAATATTGTAAAGTAGCCCCTACCGATTCAGTGTATGTAGCTATAGTGTTTTGCTCATATTTGATTTACTCCAGAATATATATATAGGATTTATACAGGATTGCAAATATTTTATTTTACTTTCATTTTTTTTTTTCAATTTCAGCTCTCACACTTTAGGATTACTCATAATATTTATTAGTTTATCATGTGTGACAACACTCTTCTTGCTGCCTTCACCTATAGAGCCTATTGAATACAGGTATGAAAGATTTAAGATACCTTTATCAACTTCATGTTAACTGATCATCAAATTTCTTTTGTCCAATATATATATATATATATATATATATATATATATATATATATATATATATATATATATATATATATATATATATATATATATATATGTACTGGTAGATACACACATATATATAGCTTCACAAAAGTAAAGCAAATTTTTATTTGCGTATTATAAAGACTTTAGTCCAATTTTTGGTACAATGCAGATAAATATATACTTTATCTTGAAAAAATCTTTAAAGGTCATATATTTAAATATGTGAAACCATTCTATAAACATCAATTATAGTCTTTCATTTATATATTGTGTTATTCTATTTTTCAAATGTCATTTCAATTTATTATCATAGACTCAAGTTTATTTATTTATTTATTTATTTATTTATTTATTTATTCATTCATTTATTTATTTATTTATTTATTTATTTATTTATTTATTTATTTACATTAGCCTCCCATTGCCACCTGAGTTCATAGGTCCTCTGGCTGAAAACAAACTCTTAGCCAAAGCTGATAAACTTTTCCTTGATAGGCTCCGTGGACCAGAGTCTATTACTGTACACAATGGTATGACAGTATGGATTTAATATTCATGATTGCATTTTTATGTACAGACACAGATGTGTCTGTACATATTGCCATCACCTGCGTCTGTCGTCGCCGTCGCCGTCGCCGTCGCCGATCATGTCGCCGTGCACTTTCAGCGTTAACACCATAAGTGGAAGACAGTTTTACTTTTTGGCTTTATATTTACAGAGCTGATGAATATTCATAAAACGCAGGTCAAGTTCGAAAATCAGCATGATCGGGCCATTATTGTAGAATTTATGCTGTTTTTTCACTTTTCAGCATATATGCAACACTGTTAACACATTTCAAGGAAAACTGATAGGCCTGTTGTCATGAAACTCACAGGAGTAATCAATCTTACTAAAACACAGGTCAAGTTCGAAAATCGGCATGATCGGACCATTATTTTATAAGTTATGCTGTTTTTTCACTTTTCAGCATATATGCAAAACTGTTAACACATTTCAAGGAAAACCCATAGGCCTGTTGTCATGAAACTCACAGGAGTAATCAATCTTACTAAAACGCAGGTCAAGTTCGAAAATCAGCATAATCGGACCATTATTTTATAAGTTATGCTGTTTTTTCACATTTCCTCAGATTCAA